ATCATACCGCCTTTTGCGCTTGCCCCCCCCCCCCCCGATACTTCCTTTAGCTCTAGGCCTGGTATTGACACTATTGTCTCTTTCTGCCTTGTTTTGCTAATTTTAAAATTTCAGTGTGTTCTGTCTCCATTCTCTCTCTTACTTTCTCCCCATATGGAAAACAGCTTCCTGCATCTGATAAGACTTGTTGCTAGTCTTGTAACACATAGGGAAACTCTTAACAAATGTGAATAGATGTGAATATTACCTGTTTCTAGGTTGTGTACATGCAGTGTAGGAGAAATAAGAGGGGGAGACACCCTGTTAGCGTTCCCAGTGGAGAGGGGAAGGCTCCAGTATCGGTTCACTGGTCGATGGCTGTCGTGGAGCTCCCCTGCAGCAGCTCAGCCTTGAGGCGTAGCTCCATGGGAGACCAAATGGTGCTGGCTTGTGCGGTGACACGTTTCTTTTGAAGAGGCAGCTGTGTGCACCTGCTTGGGGCTGGGGAATGTCAGAGAGCTCCGAGAGAGGTGGATTAGCAGGGAAAGGGACCAACCTTGCCAGAAGAGGTTTGATTGTAACTTGGCTTTGTCAATTCCCACAAAGCTGCCTGCAGCACATCCAACCGATGTGTCTGCATGCATCAAAATATATTAGTGGTATGGAAACTGGCTGTGATAACTATTTCACGTGTTATATTTACAGCAGTAGACCCTGCTCCTATATGAGGCTGGGCCAGAATGCCCTCTGCTCAGCAGGAAGGATTCTGGAACAGAGAATGCAATTTCCTCTTCATTGGTGGGTTTATAAATCAGAAAACAAAAGTTCCCCAGGGAAGACATTGCTGAAATAAACAGCGTCAGCCCATCCCGTCAGAGAGCAGCCTCTGCGTGTTCAGGCCTGGTTTCACTTGGAGAAATCGAGAAACCTCCAACGCCTTAGCCTCTGGTCTCTGTAATCGGTTCCTTTCTTCCTTACTGTCTGCAGGAAAATCCGCAAGCTGCTTTCCTCCTCTGAAGCCAAGCGAGCCGCCAGACGCCCTTACAAGCCTATTATCCTCCGGCCCATCCAGGCAGTGCAGCTACGCCAGCCCATGAATGATGAACCCATAATCATTGAGGATTAACACACGCTGAGCAGCTCTCCGGATGGCGGTGGATCTGCCTGAAAGAATCTCTCCTCCAATATATACTTGAGTTTCTATGGCTACAGCATTGAACTAACTGTTGAAGAGAGGGAACTTTTGAGGAACTGTTTTGCATCTTTTAAACCCTTAAAAGGAACTTGGCCCTGCTCTGAGCCTCTGACCACAGACTGCTCTCTCTCTCGCGCGCGCTCTCTCTCCTTCTCTCTCCTTTCTTTTTTTTCTTTTTTTTTCTTTTTTTTTTTTAATTTTCAGTAGCCTCTTTTCCCCTTTGCTTCTACCCCTTTTGTAGACGGGGGGAGGGAAAGTAAGTTTAACTTATTAAGAGAATGTGGACTAGTACTTTTTAGCTTTGTTTCCTCTTC